AACCATAAAAGACTCTTAAATACTAAGAATAAACTGAGGGTTGACGGGGGGTGCAAGGGAGGGGAATGTGGGTGATGGGCATTGAGGAGGGCACCTGTTGGGATGAGCACTGGGTGTTGTATGGAAACCAATTTGACAATGAATTTCATAATAAAAAAATAAACATAAACAAGCCTATTTTGTTTAATATAAGTATTGTTACCTTGGCTTTCTTTTCACTTCCATTTGCGTGATAAATATTTTTCACTCTTCACTTTCAATCTGCATGTGGCTTTAGGTCTGAAGTGGGTCTCTTCTAGGCAGCATGGAGATGGGTCTTGTTTTTTTATCCATTTTGTCATCCTATATCTCTTGATTGAAGTGTTTAGTCCATTTACATTTGATGTAATTATTGATAGGTACATACTTATTGCCATTTTGTTAGTTGTTTTGTGGTTGTTTTTGTAATTCTCTGTTCCTTTCTTCTCTTGCTCTCTTCTCTCACAATTTGGTGGGTTTCTTTTTTTTTTTTTTTTTTTTTTTTCACATAACCAGCTTATTTATTTTTGGACAGAGAGCAGAGATGGAGCATACGAACGGGGAGGAGGGGCAGAGAGAGGGGAGACACAGAATGCGGATAAGCTCCAGGCTCTGGCAAGGAGCCATCAGCAGAGCTAGGAAACTGCGGGGCTCAAACTCACAGACGATAGAGATCGTGACCCGGCTGAAGTCGGACGCTTAACCGACTGCGCCACCCAGGCGCCCCTGGTGGGTTTCTTTAGTAATATAATTGGATTCCCCTTTCTTTATATTTTGCATATGTGTTACCAGTTTTTGGTGTGTGGTTACCCTTACATTTATATATAACATCTTATGTATATAGCAGTCCATATGAAATTGATGGTCACTTAAGTTTGAATCCATTCATAAAGCACTAAACTTTTACTCTTCTCCATTCCTCATGTTTTAGTTATGTGGTGTCTTACTTTACCTCCTTTTACTTACTGAACATCTTGACTCGTTTTTATAGATGTACTTAATTTTACTGCTTTTATGCTTCTTTTCTTACTCTTTGTTACAATCTTTCATTTGTACTCAAAGAGCCCCTTTTAACATTTTTGTAGGGCTGTTTGAGTAGTGGTGAATGTCTATAACCTTCATTTGTCTGGGAAACTTTTTATCTCTTCTATTCTGAATGATAGACTTGCTGGACAGAGTATTCTTGGTTGCAGGTTTTTTTTCTTTCAGCATTTTGAATATATCATGTCACTCCCTTCTGGCCTGCAAAGTTTATTCTAAAAAGTCCACTGATAGCCCTATGGGGTTTCCCTTGTATATAACCGTTTTTTTTTTCTCTTGCTTCTTTTAAAATTCTCTCTTGATCACTACTGTTTGCCGTTTTAATTACCATTTGTGATGTGAACCTTGTTGGGTTGATTTTGTTGGGGGATCTCTGTGCCTTCTGGATCTGGATTCCTGTTTCCTTCCCCAGATTCAGGAAGTTTTCAGCTATTATATCTTCAAGTAAAATTTCTGCCTCCATTTTTTTTTTCTTTCTTCTTCTTTTGGGACCCTTACAATGCAAATGTTATTACACTCGATGGTGTCACTGAGTTCCCTTAATCTATTCTCATTTATTATTATTATTCTTTTTTCTTTCTTTTTTCCACTTGATTGCTTCCCATCACTCTGTCCTCCAGGTCATCGATCCATTCTTATGCTTCCACTAGCCTACTATGTATTCCATCTAGTGTATTTTTAATCTCAGTGATTGAGTTATTCATCTCTGATTGGTTCTTTTTCATGTTTTCTGTTTCCTTGTTGAGAGTCTCACTGAGGTCCTCCCCTCTTTTCCCAAGTCCAGTGAGTATCTTTATGACCATTACTTTAAATTCTCTATCAGCCATATTACTTATCTCTCTTTTGCTTAGCTCTCTTGATGTGATTTTGTTCTATTTCATTTGGGACATATTATTCTGTCTCCTCGTTTTGTCTCACTCTCTGTGTCTATGTGTTAGGAATGTCAGCCATGTCTTCTGCTCTTGAAAGTAGTGCAATGTCCCCTGTTCTCTAGGATCTTGTGCTTCAGGGATGTTTCCTATGCGTATTGTGTTTGCCCTACTTTTGTGGCTGAGCTTCTTCAGTCCAGTTCTTCTTCAGTCCAGTCATCTGCAATGACTCTCTTTACCTGTTGTGGGCAGGGTTTGGTTCCTGTGGCCAGTCTGGGACCACCTTGGGCTTGAGGTGGTTCACACCAGGCATTTGCCAGAGATGCAGTGGCACTGAACTTCAGGACACTTTCCCTGTGTTGTCCCTTGGAAGCTTTTGTTGGTGGGCAGGGCCTGCAGTTAGGCCCGATATCTGCCCCCAGCCCACTGCTGGAGCCACACTTGAACAGGTTTGTGTGATTATCTCCCCCTTTACCCAGGGCAAGAATCACTTTGGGATGGTGCTGGCCTCTGTGGGGGCTCCTTGCACACTGCCATGCTTGTGGTGCTGCTTTAGATGGACTTCTGACAGGGGTAGGTGGTCCCCAGGTGTAGGTGGTTCTGTGGTCCCCAGAAAAGCATGCAGAGGCATTGGTGGGGTGGGGTTGCTGTTAACAAGGTAGATGGAGAGTGTTCCCTGGCTGGACTGGTTCCTGCAGGTGTCTGTGTACCTAGGCTAGGGGATGGGGAGGGAAATGGCTATGCCAGCTTTTTGTTCATGGAGAAGTCTCTTAAAGGTCTCTGCCCCTCCAGCACAAGTTCTGAGTTTAATAAGTAAATCTCCTTCCCTTATATCCCTATTTTTCAAACTGCGGCTTCTCTGTTGTATCTCAGCAGGTCTGTTTGTTATGCTGTTTCTTTCAGGGTGGGGACTCAGTTTGCTGTCACCTCCTGACTTTCCTTGGGCAGAGCCTTCTGAGTTTTACAGTTCTAGGTGTCAAGCCCCACTGATTATAAGAACTTGTTACGTTATGCCCCTCTGTTTTTCAGAGCTAAATGATATGATGATTTGTCCTTCCAGTGTGGGTCCCCCAGGCGTGGGGCGCCTGGTGTGGGGTCTGCTCCTCTCCCTTCTCCATGCCTGTGTGTCCCTCCCTCCTGTAGACAGTATCATAGGTCAGTTTGTTTCCCAACCTCATCTTTGTCCTTCCTACCTTTTTCTGATGCGGCCTCTTCTCTACTTTTAGCTGTGGAGGGTCTGTTGTTCTGCCAGTCTTTGGGTTGTTTTCTGGGTTCTTTACACTGATGTGGGTGTTATTTAGGAGTGTCCATGGGATGAGGTGAGCTTAGGACCCTCCTATTCTGCCATCTTCCCTGAAAGTCCTCGACCTGTTTCTAGTTTTAGTGACTACAGATAATCTGTAAATATCCTTGTGCATATCTTTGGGCACATGTGTTTTTAGAAAGTTGTCAGTAACTAAATTTAAAATTGAGTTGTGCATTTTATTTCGCTGGGAACTCTGCTCAAACATAGTGGGGTATTTAGTAAAGTGGGGAAGATGGGCACTAGGATTCACAAAGTCCAGTATCATGTTTCTATAAAATTATTCATCTTCATTTTAATCAATTCTAGGATAATGACCAGAAAGGGCTAGAGTTTAGGGATGGATATGTTTAGGAGTCTGTTGGCTTGATTTATAACTCTTAAATATTTAAATATATGGCATATGGACTTCCATTTTTACCTTTGCCCATGGCTCTGTAAATAGTAAGTGCAGAACCACTAAAGAAAGAAAGGCAAAGACATCTTAATGCCTAATTTGCAATACCCCCCCTCCCCCCATGAAATCATTCTAGGAAACACTTTGGACATGGGACATTAAGTTTCACAGTGACTTGAAAGAGATCTTCTATTCAGACCTAGGGATAAAACTAGGCCAAATTACATGCTAATTATACCTAGATTTTCTTTCTTTGAATTTTTTTCTTAGCTATTTTTATAAAGTGATGTTTTTATTTTTAAAACTTATATTAGTATTGAAAAAGTCATTGTCTTAGTCCTTTTGGGCTGCTATAACAAAGTACCGCAGACTGGGTAGCTTATAAACAACAAATTTATTGTTCAGTGCTGGAGGCTGTGAAGTCCAAGATGAAAGGCTGCAGCATATTCACTGTGGTGAGACCCCCACCTTCCTGGTCCTTAGCCACATTCTCACTGTGTCCTGACACAGTGGAAGGGGTGAGAGTTGTGTAGGGACTCCTTTCTAACGGCACTAGTCTTGTTCATGAGGGCTCCATCCTCGTGACCTAAGTACCTCCCAAGGGCCTCACCTTTGACTACTATCATCTGTGGGGTTTAGGATTTCAACATATGAATTAGGGAGGGGATACAAAATATTCAGACCATAGCAGTCACTAATCTCCCCTAATTTTGCCTATAGAAATCTGGCTGTTCAGGTCGGTCACAAGATTATGTCAAAGGTACCAACGGACAATTTTATGACAATGCATATTATTTTTTAACAATAAAAGGTACTCTTGTACGTGCACCGGTTTACTGTAAAGACGGATTAATTTGGCACATTCTGGTGAGCACCATGGAGAAGAGGGCATACTCAGGAATCAGATTGCCTGAGTTTGAGTCCTAGCTCTGCCACTAACTAGCCTTACAAGCTGTATGATCTTGAGTACATTTCTTAACCTTCCTGTGCTGTCATCTCCTTCTCAGAAGAGTAAGGTGATAATTGTGTGTATCTGAAAACATTGTTACAAAGGCTAAACGAAGTGATATAGAGAGAGTTTAGAACAGTGTCTGGTGCATAGTCAATATTTGGCAACAGCCTTTATTTTATGTAGAATTGTTGTAATTCTAGTTCAAAGGGTGAATTTAGTGCTTCACTTCCTTCCTTGCTGACAGCTGCAGGCATCCATGATCCAAGAAGATGCCACTGAGGACGTTGAAGGTGACAACTCCAGCCCTTCCATGAGCACAGGTCAGAGGGCTTCTGCAGGTGGCCACGGGGCTCAGGATGACCATGAAGAAGAGGTATGTGGGATTCAACACCCAACAAAGATTTCCCAGTTTGTACAGATTCTAGATGTGGGATCTCACCAAGGGTGATGGTCAAATGTTTAACAGCCAGTAAGTAGGGCACGGGGACCAGCTCACCTGAAAGCACTTAGGCAGTAGATCTGGGAGGGTCAGGGAGACCCTGCTGGTGGCAGTCCTGTAGTTGCAAAGTCATGGGAAGTTGGGGTGGTCCCAAAGGAGGGGGAGTGCATATAGGATCAGAACAACAGCTTCTCACCAGCCAATCTAGGAGTGTTTTAATATTTTAACCCAGTTACTGCTGTATCTGTGAGTGTGGGGTGAATATCAGCCTTCAGATTTACTGACAGAGAAGGTCCTCAGTGCTAGTCGGTCCTCCTTTTTTTTTTTTTTTTAAAGTATATTCATTTATTTTGAGAGCGAGCGAGCAAGTGTGAGTTGCAGGAGAGGGTCAGAGAAAGTGGAAGAGAGAGAATCCCAGGCAGGTTCCACGCTGTCAGTACAGAGGCTGAGGAGGGGCTCGATCCCACGAACTGTGAGATCATGATCTGAGCTGAAATCAAAGAGTCAGACGCTTAACCAACTGAGCTGCCCAGGCGCCCTGCTAGTGAGGCCTCCTTGACTCAGAATCGTACCCCTGGGAGTCAGCTATGTTTATTATGAGGTGCCCAGTCAGTACCCCTCACACCATGAGAGCAGAGCCCGAATCTAGCCCGACTGAAGAAGTAAAAGGCAGGCTGTTTATTCTCAGCCCACCTCCCCAGCAGAAGCACGCCCAGCTGCTGTCCCCTCTTTGTTCTCCTGTCTCAACCCAACCCTGGCTCTGCTGAGACTTTGCTGACCTATCTTTGTAATGTTATCTGCCTCTCCTGTGAATTCAGGAATTGCTTTGTTCCCTCCTCCCTCCCTGCGCCTTTCTGTCCAAGAGCAGCCACTCCCCCTCAGGAATGTGCCACATTTTCCCAGCTGAAGGCAGGTGGCTGTTTTTAGATTACCACCGAAGTATCCCATAAGCCTGAACGGGCTGGGGACTTTAACTGGAGCTCTGTTCTAATCCTGGAGTGGGGACGGGGTTCCTGTGAAGCCTGAGAGATGCTATAAGAAGTTCCATTTGTGGTGTTAATTACTTAAAAAAAAAATTCATTTAAACTAATGGATAGTCAATTAGAAATAATGAAAAATCTGGATCAAGTTTTTCCGAGAAGATTCCAGGTACAGAAAGTAACCCATATTAGTGGCTATTAATATTACTAAGCCTGCCAGACCTGCGGGGATGTTTTAGAATCCAGCCCACACATCGCCTGACCCATCCAGTCCCAGCCCGTCCAGTACAACCTCTCTCGTCTGTTCTTCCCATGCCCTCAATATTTACCCTCTCGGTGTTCATCTTCTGCCTCTGCCATGTACTGGCTGCCCTTGTTTGGGCAACTTGAGGCTCCATTTGTAGGTCCCTTCCCCCAAGTACAATCATGTGTGGATCGTCCATTGCCAAGCATATATACAGGCTTGGCTCTTTTGTCCCCTCAGGGTCCTCTCTGACCTCTGTCTACACCAGGTGTTGGCCAAACTCTGGGTCAAGGTCTGCAGACTGCCAAGTCTGCCCAAGACTTCCGACACTAGCCACAGGTTTGGGGGATCCCCAGGACCACCCTCTCTTCAGACCAGTCAGTTACAAATTTAGGGTCCCCTCAGATTCCCTCAGGGCTGGTGATTTATAGAACGACTTACAGAATTCAATGAAGTTTAACCCTTACTTACAGTTAGGCTTTTACTGTAGCTCAAATATACAGATCAGAAGCAGCCGGAGGAAGAGGCGCGTAGACAGAACCTGACGCTGGGAGGGTTCCAAATTCCAGAATTCTGTGTCCTTAGAGAGACATTAGTCTCCCAGCCTCAACATGTGGCGGTGTGCACACAGCATTGCCAGCTCAGGAAGCTCACCGGAGCTCCAGCATCCAAAGCTCTATTGGGGTTTCATTATGTAGGCGTGCAATTCAGTGGTTGTGCTCACTCTCCAACTCCATCCTCTCCCTGGAGGCTGGGCTGGTAACACATGGCTCCAAGTCTCAACCCTCCAACCACAGGAACCATCCGATGTGGTCCCAGGGGCTCACCGTGAAGAACACAGACAGTTCTTTCAGGTGGGAGACGTCAGGAGTTTAGAGGTTGCCTCCCTGGAGCCAGGACAAAGCCAGCCCTCTCCTTGGGTGGGGTTCGTTCTTCACCACTCATTCCTCCATTCCCTTGCCTCTCTCCCCTCTCTGCCCTTCCCTGCCCTTCACCTCCTCCCAGCTGTTTTCATTGCTGAGTCAGAGGCATTGACTTCTGTCTCCTCTCCAGAGCTCCTGACATGGTTGACTGCACCCTCCGTGCCTTCCTCGGTATTTCTCTATCCTTGGCCGCAGCCCTGTGACTCCTTCTGGGACTCTGACCTCTTCTTTCCATCATCCATGTCTTTCTTTCTCACCTCCACATGAACTTTTCCCAGGCTGGGAGCTCTGTGATCTTTCCCTCATGTGTCTTCCTGGTCCCCTTACCTCCCACAGGTGAGTCCTAGGTGTTCACTTCCAGCCCGGACTGTTCTTCTGAACCTGTTCTTCCTCTGTCACTGTGTGCTGAGAGATTCTACTTGTGTGGCCAGCTGTCACTGAGACACAACACACCTGAACCTATCACTAATGTCCTTCTCCAATTTATCCATTTCTGTCAATGGCATTCTTTTAGCCCCTCGGACTCAAGACCCTCAGAACCCTGTTTGACCCTGGCCCCTGCTGGGTCAGAGGCCCTTTTTCTGCATTCCCACAGTACTGCTGAGTCTTGATTATTGCACTTTTCCATGCACCCAGTCCCCACCACGCTGCGAGCCACCCGAGGGCCAGGATGGTGCCAGTCACACTGTTCCCCCGACAGCATCAGAGTGCGTGAAGGGAACAGCATGCTCTTGCTGTGTGTGTGCTGTTTCTTCCCCTTCATCTCTAGATTAGTGAGCTAGTCAACAAACAGGCTTTTTTGCTTATAAGGCTCTGCCTTTGCTAGTCCATTTTGTCACCAGATTAATCATCCCCCCAAGACTTTTTTATTCCCCCTCCCCACCCCGGCCACTTTTCATTCAGATGCTGTTTATGGTTGCTCATTGACTCCAACTTATTTTCCCAACTCTGTTCTTTACTGAAACTTCAGCACCTGGGGGCTCCTTTCTAGTCCTCACCAAACAAGCACCTACTTCCAGCCAAATTGTTTCCCGCCCAGAACTTGCCTTCCTGATGTTCCCAAGCACCCACCTTTTCCTCACCGGGAGTCATTTTCTTCACCAGGAATGATCTTGCTTATCTTTTACTTCCAGATGCGTCCCCAGCCTTCCCGGCCCAGCACAGACCTCACCTCCTGTGACACCTTACCGACCGGTCTCTCTTCTTTGAACTTCTTTCAGCTACTTCTGGGAAATGTTCCTGCACACACACTGTACCCTACGTTGCGCTGCTAACTCTCTCTCTACAAGCATATTAATATTTGTTTTCCCCTAGTTCGACTGGAAGTGCCTTAAGAGCGGAGCACATGTTTTATTCATCGGTGTATCATTAGTAAGACCTTTCATGGAGGAAATACTTAATGAAATAGAATAAAAAATTCTCTCTTTCAGTTCAACTTTGGAGACATCTTTGTGCATCAAGCCATCCACACGATCGAGTACTGCCTGGGCTGCATTTCAAACACAGCCTCTTACCTCCGGCTCTGGGCCCTCAGCCTGGCTCATGCACGTGAGTGAGCTGCCCTCAGGGTCACGATCAGATCTCCCCTGGGAAACAGAAGCAAAGCGCTTGTTTGGAGAAGTGCCTTCTCTGGGTTATTTACGGCATGTTTGCCCAAAGAATGGTTGGTTTTTCTTAGGAAGAAGTGACTTTTTCTGTAGGTCTGACTTTATGTTACTGGAGTAGTTAGCCTCTGTGTCAGTTTCCTGTTGCTGCTATAACAAATTGCCCCCGTTTAGCAGCTCAAAACAAATGCAGATATACTGTCTTAGAGTTCTGGAGTTGTAGAACCAAGATGTCAGCAGGCTTGGTTCTTTCTAGAAGCTCTAGGGGGGAATCCATTTCCCTGCCATTTCTATTTTTAGAGGCCGCCTGCATTTCTTGGCTCTTGGGCTCATCAGTCTGATTCCTGCTTCATTCATCATGTCCCTATTTTCTCTGGCTCTGACTCCTTTGGTTTCTTCTTCTAAGGACCATGTGGTTACCTTGGGCGTACCTGGATAATCCAGGATGATCTCCTTATCTCAGCACCCCTTCACTTTAATCCTGTCTGCTTAATCCATTCCTTTTTTTTTTTTTTAAGTTTATTTATTTATTTAGAGAGAGAAAGAGAGGGCACATAACAGCATGAGTTGAGGTGGGGGGCAGAGAGAGAGGGGGAGAGAGGATCCCAAGCAGTCTCCACGCTGTCAGTGCAGAGCCCAGTTTGGGGCTCGAACTCATGAACTGTCAGATCATGACCTGAGCCGAAATCAAGAGTCAGGTGCTTAACTGGCTGAGCCATCCAGGTGCCCCCTGCTTAATCCATTCTTAATCCCTTTTTGCCATGTAGCTTTTTCTTAAGATTAGAACATGGCCATCTTTGGGGGGTTCACTTTGAGAGAAGGCCTGCCTTGATTGTGAGCATTGGTGGAAAGTAGGCCAGTTGGCTGACCCTTGAGCTGCACCCACCCCCCCACCAAGGGTACTCACCACCTCACAGGGTCATGCTAAGCCCAATTTTGGTCATGATTCCATCCCCAGGGGTTACTTAAGTCTGGAATCCTAACTCATCAAGTTACTTTGTAAGATCCTTCTTGATCCTTGCCTGATTTTCCAGTCTCGTCCCTTGGTATTGCCCTCAATGCCCCACCAGCCCCTGGTACCCACCCATTTCATAGGCAGTGGCCACCAGGACCTGCACTGAGGCTCCTGAGGCTGCCACGCGCTCTGGGCCTCTCTGTGTTGGCCCTGCAGCCCCCTTTCCTGAAATCTTCCTTTCTTCCTTAGCTTTCTCCTCACTTGATTTCTAATTCCTCCTTCAGAGCTCATGCAAACGGCACCTCTCCTGGGAATCTTCCTCCCTGATCCCCAGTCTGGCAGGTGCCCTTTCCCTGGGTTCTGGGAGTGCCCCCTCCTAACACTGATTGCAGTTCAGTCCTGATTGGCCTGTGTCCCTACTGGACTGTGAGCTCCTGAAAGGCATTGACCCTGATTTCCACCCCTGCATTCCCAGCCCTGAGCACAATGTGTGAGAGATCAGGCCAAAGTGTGTGCTAGATGGGTAGAAACCAAAGCAAGGAAAGTGAGCCTGCTTCTTGATTTTTAGCAGAAATGCAAGTACTCACTGTTAGCCTTCGAGGCTTGGGCTGTGTTCATTTCCTTACATCAACTCCCACACATACACTTTACCTGTGTGCACACAGGTGTTTGGATGCATACATCCACAAGCACCTGCCTGTGTTTGCTTGTGCATTGACATGCACTCATGTGAGGTGGTTTCCCAGGGCCCCAAAGTGGATCTCTGAGCTTCGTGTGGTCAAGTGGTGTTTAATGTCAGCCTTTAGCTCTGATCCCAGATGTGGTTTGGAAGCGTCACGTCGCAAGAGGGCTGAGCCCAGATGGGACAGGAGGGTGCTCTCTGACCAGTCCATGCCCATCGAAGATGCAATTTGACATCAGAAAATCCATATGGCTTATAGCTGCCCGGCACAGTCTACCCATTGGATCTTTCTAGAACTTCCTGAGACATATAGTGCCCACGGAATATCTTCAACTCATGCTAACAAACTTGCTTGAAGAGGTGGTTTGGCAGAAAACAGATGCTGATTTAAGTCCTAGTTTCTCTTCTGCCACTTTTAGCTCAGTAACTCAGGCAAGCAGGCTAACCTGTGTGCGCCTTGGCTTTCCTGTGTGGTTCCGGTAGTGAGCCTGCTGTGTTAGTCAACCAAGGCTAGAACGTGTTGCAGTCACTACCAGCCCCGGATCTCAGCAGCTTAAACAATGGAAATGTACTTACTCTATCACATCTGTTCATCAGTGCCATGCTGAGACCTAAGTTGAGGGAGGCTGTATTTGGATATATGCTTCAAAAATCACCCAGATGGGGGTACAAGGAGGAGGTGAGAGTGAAACACCGGAAATTAACACACTTTCCCACTGTGTTACTCCAGCAGAAAGCCAGGGCTGGGGGGCAGGGCACAGCACAGGTGCAGATACTCCCCTTGTGCCCTCACATGTCTCTCTTCTCATCGTGTCCAAATAGCCACTTGCAAGTGACAGGTCTTTATCTCTCTGGGCCATGCCACTTTGACCTTTTGGCTGGGTGACCTCCAGTCTCAACCCAACAATGTAATGGTAGTATCTCCCCGAAAGGGCGAGTGTGAGCAAGCTCTCTGGTGTCTCCTCTTATAAAGGCACTAATTCCATCATGAGGGCCCCACCTTTATGACCTCATCAACCCTTAATCACCTCCCAAAGGCCCCTTCTCCAAATACCCTCACTGTGGTGGGTAGGGATTCAACATAGGAATTGGAGGGTGGGCAGGACACAAACATGCAGTCCATATCAAATCACATTCTACGCATTCTGTTGTGTTTCGCATCTCTGGCGTAACATTTTGTTGCTCAGATTTATTCATGTTGCTGCTGGTAACTGTAGTTTGCTCACTTTCACTGGTGAATACTGTGCCTCCGTATGTTTGTTGTCATGACAGAAACTCCTCTATTGTGAGCACTGCCCTAGACAGTCTCATACAGGTGCCCCAGGGCACATGTGCCTGAGTTTTCTTACCTGAAGAGCACAGTGTTGGGATTCTAGGGTGTGCAGACCCAGGTATATGGCATGAAAAAACCCTGCACTTGCCACATAAACTCTATGGTTGAGAAGGTTTCTCTTGCTCTTACAGAATTGTCTGAAGTGCTCTGGACCATGGTGATGAACATTGGCCTTCGCGTGCGAGGCTGGGGAGGACTCATTGGAGTCTTTATCATTTTTGCCATATTTGCTGTTCTGACGGTAGCCATCCTTCTGATCATGGAGGGTCTCTCTGCGTTCCTGCACGCCCTGCGACTACACTGGTGAGCGTGGCTGCACTGGGGAGGCTCTGTGTGCTCTAGAGAGAGATGATGGGCCATAGGACCAGCCAGCTGAGGTCACATCCTGACCCAGTTTGAGTCCCCTGTTGGCTTAATATTACATGATGAGGTGTGTGTATGTGTGTGCCTGTGTGTATGTGTATACACATATGATGGCTGCCCTAGGATTAATGTTAGTTCCCATTTACTCATTCTCTTTTATTTGTATTATTACTTTTTAAATGTTTATTTATTTTTGAGAGAGAGAGAGAGTAGAGGAGGGGCAGAGAGAGAGAGAGGGATAGAGGGTCCAAAGCAGGCTCTGCACTGACAGCAGAGAGCCCGATTCAAACTCACGAACTGTGGGATCATGACTAGAGCCAAAGTTAGATGCTTAACTGACTGAGCCACCCAGGCGCCCCTTACTTGTTCTCTTCTAAGAGTTCGTTTGTTATATCACAACTAGCTTCAAGATAAGAAACACTTCAAGTATTGGTAAGATGACAGATCTGAGATAGTCTCACAGCGGCATACTTAGTGAATCTGGGACATTAGGCCCTTGGTGCTGAGTGCAGGAACTATACCAGAAGTACAGGCTACTAACCTCTACAAAGTGGGAACAGAAGAAGGGTACCTGGAAGGAGGAAGGCACTCACAGGAGGCCCTTGACATCCGCAGATGTGTCCAGAGACTATGAGCCCTCACTAGGCTTACAAATATGAAAACATGTGTTGAAGCTCCTGTTTTTCTAACAAGTCATAGGTTGTCCAAGAATTTTGAGTGTGTGCTCATACCCTTAAACCACAGAGACTGTCTTTAGCTCTCACCGATGCTTTCTACCTCCCTCTGTGCACGCTGTTCATAAAGAAAAGTTTTTACATACTCCATGTATGGAGTGGAGGGAATCACAGCGCCCCTGCCTCAGGTTATGACATCGGCTCTCCCCACGTCCTTAAGGAAATGAACCCTGTAACATAATCAAGCATGAATGATCATGCGTGATGTCTGCGATGTAAGTTACGAGAATGTTAAGTCAGGGTCCTGGGTATTGTGAAATAGCGTAAGTCCCATGGTTAAGATGAGGATGGAGAAGAAAAACCACGTGGAACCTCGTGAAACATTCTCTCATCACTAGCTCGTGAGATAAGACTTCACAGCGAACGCTTCCCTGCTTGTGGGAGCCGGGGGGAGGGTGGCTCTGCCGTGGTCTGAGAGGCTGGTGGCAGGGGCCTGGAGGAAGTGGGGTGGGATAGGAAAGGAAAAGTGTGACTGGGAGGCAAGAGAAGGATATTTATAAGCCTCAGAGGATCCCTGTAGTGGCCACCAACCTGAGTGTCTTCCCTGGCACACCTTCCTGACCCTGTGCTTGATTTTACAAATGCCCCGCTTCTTCCCTTCCCGGCCAGCCTCTAGCTTACATGTTTTTATCTCGCTTTTTTTTTTTTTGGTTTTGCCCTCCCCCATCCCCCAAGGGTGGAGTTCCAGAACAAGTTCTATGTTGGGGCCGGTTACAAGTTTTCTCCTTTCTCCTTTAAATACATCCTGGAAGGGACATCGGAGGAATAGCGGCAGGTCCCGTGGCTGCCGCATGTTCTGCCTCAGTCTCTGTGCCTGTGAAAGAAGTTCAGCTTTGTCTTCGATGTCAGCTTGTGCTAGGTGGTCAATGGATGATTGTTCTTAGCTACCTGGAGACAGGAAGCCGTGTATATTTTACTTATAAGCCTTGGAATTTGATACGACTTAACCATGTCACAGGGGAACCGACCTCATGTGGGGTCGTCATTGTCAAAAACTGAAATGACTGAGAAACGGGGAGCACTACACTGATGTTTTCCTGCAATATTGTGAGTATTATATGCAAGAAAATAAACTTCTGGGCCATTTCCTTGTTCTTTAAGATGTCTTTGTCCAAAATTATTCTGTAATATTTAGTATTGATAGTTACAGGCCAAAGCTAAACAATAGAGTTACACAAACTAAGAGGATTATGTTTATTTTATTCTTTCATTTCCTGGTTCCTCAGACATGTTTTTTCCTTGGCCAGGGCTAAGCTTTATAAGATTAGGAACTTTCTCATGAATCTCCACTCCAGGTGGGAAAGAAAGGGTAATGTTCCCTGGATGGAGGGCTGGCCCCATGTGGCTCTATGTGTTGTTAAACCCTGTGGAATGAAGTGTGGCAACATATCATCAGCGACTGTTTGCTGGATGCACATTGTGCTGCAGGAACTGGAGAAAGAGATTTGAAGACTCGAGAAAGTTCTGGAAAACAGCCTGCCAGACAGGAGTCTGCCAGACAGGTCTTCCCTGATACTCTCTGGGTCTGTCAGCCCTGAAGTCATTTCTAAGCCTCCTGGATTGTCAAACTCTTAAGAGCCAGTTTTGTAGAGTAAAATATGTGTCATCAACTATTTAGATAACTATTTAGTTATCCAGGTTAATCATAATCTTCAAGGTAACTAGACCAGTGGAATTAAGCATTGTTACCATTGGTACAGTGCTTTACAGTTTACAAGGCACTTTAAAAAAAAAATGGTTTTAATGTTTATTTATTTTTGAGAAAGAGAGAGAGAGAGAGAGAGGAAGGGGCAGAGAAAGAAACACACACAGAATCTGAAGCAGGCTCCAGGCTCTGAGCCGTCAGCACAGAGCAGGATGTGAGGCTTGAACTCATAAATTGTGAGATCGTGGCCTGAGACAAGTCAGACGCTTAACCAACTGAACCATCTAGGCGCCCCTCGTTTTTTTTAAAGTAAACTCTACCTCCAACATGAGACTTACACTCACAACCCCAAGATCCAGAGTCGCATGATCTTGTGACTGAGCCAGCCAGGTGCCTCAAGGCACTTTCTACATAGCATCTAGTTCTTAAGATTTCAGAGTGACCAAATCCAAAATTGCCTTTTGGACATATCTCTGGGTTCTTCAGCTCCCTCCTGCCCTGCTTGGTAGTGGGGTTGATGGGTGAGCACGGAAGTGTCATGGCTCAGACCCGAAGAAGGTTCCATGTCACCTTCTGTATCAGTGTCGTGGCTTGTCTAGCACAACTTAAGGCACAATTAGCTGCTCAACAAATATTCAGAGATTAAAGCAGGTTGAGCCTAAGAATGATAGTTGACATCTTTGACTTCCAACTCCGATACTTTATCACGTGTGTCCTCAGTCAGGAGACCGAGTTGTTCTGCTCATTGCCAAAATGGGGGATTAGCGATCTCCATTCTCTGGGTTGTGGAAAGGAAGTGTAAAGCATGGGGCATGGACCTGCTACTTATCCGGTAACATTGCCTGAAGGAAAGAACAGACAAAAGCCATATGTAAATGTTAGTTTAAATCCATAAAAGCCAAGGTCACTGGATAATTTCAAGTTTCTCAGGACATCACTGCCCTTCTCAACAACTATCTAAAAATATGCTACGTGTACATGGATCACCAGGCTTTGCCTCTTTACTTCTAAGCAGTGATGGCTGTGAGAAAAGGTTTGAAAGGACAAAGCTTCCTTCTGCCCCTCACCTAGAGCCCTGGTTTTCCAGAAGTTCCCATGGCCTCCCTGAAAACTGTTATTTTCCTCCAAGATTTGGCAGCCTTCTTTAATCTCAATGAGAGACGTAATTTCCCCTTTAAAAAAGGATTGGGTGAAGGGCTACAGAAAAGGGGGTGTAACCTGGATGTCACTCACTTGCCCACACCACAAGGTTGCTCCTTAAAGAATTCCACTCACAGAACTGAGCCAAAAGAGGAGGAGAAGACCAGGGGGCCGGGCTTCTTAGGCAGGTAAGTCCAGAAGCCCCTCCTGGGGCCACCAACGGTCTAACTGCTGTGTGACACTTGGCTGTGTTAAGAGTGAGTGAAAGAGCCTGAAACTGGAAAGCTTTCCAAGGACTATACAGAGGTAAGAAACTCCGACGGGCAGCATAGATCTGGATGTACTTTTCCTGCTTTGGAGTGGGGGTTGGGGAGGTAGGAGTTTGACCATTTGTACTTGACTGAAGGCACATGGAATATGAAAAGTTCCCTCTTCATACTGATGATATTGCAAAATCAATTACATCATACACACATACAAGCACGTTCAGTTTTAAAAAGCTCTAACATGGCTCAATTATTTCTGGCTAAAAAATTCAGTATAGCAAAATGCAATGGAATGAAAAGTCCATCAGTGCCCTGGAATTTATTTTAATGAAGCTTGAATGCCACGTGAACCTTTTGAATTTCAGAGTAGACCCTCAGCGTGTCAGTTTTTACAGATATTTTGTTTGTTTATTTATTTATTTATTTAAAGGTTTTATTTTTTAAGTAAAATAAAGCCCCAACATGGGGCTCAACATCACAACCCTGAGATCAAGAGTCCTAAGCTCCTGGAGTGAGCCAGGCAGGCACCCCTTTTACAGATTTTTTGAAGCTAGGTCATGGGTTACTTTCCCATTGTAGTTTTTAAGGAGCTGATGGTAAGGGGTGGGAAACATTCTTCACCATGTTATTCCTTCTCTTCTTGAGTTGGTCCAACTGATTATCCCTCCTCTTCCTAGGTTAGAATGGATTCAGAATGATTTAGGGAAACAATAGAAGATGCCAACTCAGCTTTTCCAACACTCCATTTCAGACTTGAGATTACAAGTTCTATCTGTAATGTACCTCATATCTATCTCTATGGAACATTCTGTCCCCTTTTTTATGAAAACTTTTCCTTATGAAACTTGGCTGAAACCCTAGAGAATACAAGGAGAATATCTGTGATCTATTAAATTTGAGTTAATGTTGGGTGTCCTCTTAATAACAGGTACTGTAAGCCCATTTATAGCATGCAGATGTGAATGCCCAAATCCTGATAATCTGTCTACACCGCTGAACTCCCCTCCCCACCACCCAACATGGCACCCAACACCCAACACCCAAATAGTCAATCTATTTCAGAAAACAAGTAATTTCTTTTCCCATTTGGGTGGTTTTTCATCTGAGGCCAAGGTGTTTTTTATTTAAATTTTTTTTTTCAACGTTTATTTATTTTTGGGACAGAGAGAGACAGAGCATGAACGGGGGGGGGGGTGGGGGGCAGAGAGAGAGGGAGACACAGAATCGGAAACAGGCTCCAGGCTCTGAGCCATCAGCCCAGAGCCTGACGCGGGGCTCGAACTCACGGACCGCGAGATCGTGACCTGGCTGAAGTCGGACGCTTAACCGACTGCGCCACCCAGGCGCCCCAGAGGCCAAGGTGTTTTAATGTTAGTGGAATATTAAGCAGTAAATGCTTTTGCACACATTTGGTAACTCTGAAAATACTTAAGAACTTATGCTGTGTGTATTTGATTTGTGATTATGGAGAAATTTTAGACATTTAGTTGATACCCTTATTCAGGGATAAGAAATAGTACTCCCATGGGTGCTTAGGTTGCAGCGGGCACTGTGCCATATTATACAAACCTCATCACATCTGATCCTTGTAACAAACTGAAGAGGAGGCTTCTCAGTTAAGAATTATACACAACTGGCTGGTCTGAGTGCAGTGGTGTTTACCATCCGTTGATCACGGCCATCTACTATTTCTTTGTTGCTTCTTCCCTCCCACTGCTACACTCAGCTAGCCTAAAAATAAAATAATTGCACACAACCTCAAGGAACAGAGACTAGAAATAACAGTGTCTTCAACAGAGAGTGCTTAATTTTTTTCCCATGTAGATGTCTGGAGGTAAGTGGTCCACAGCCGTAGGAGAGGTTTCCAGGCTCTTTCTAGCTTATGCTCTGCCAGACTTGGCCTGAAGTTTCCATATTTCCATCTTCACATTTGCATCATGACCCAAGATGCCTGATGAAGCATCAGCCATCATGCAGGGGGGAGGGGCAGAAGGGCCTTCATCTGCATCTCAGTGACCACTTTCTTCAGCAAGGTGCAAGGGAGGACCTTATTGGGACGACAGCAAGCTACTTCTCCCACAGGTAGCTGGGTATTATTTCCATTTTCAGAGAAGGAAACTGAGGAAGAAGAAACAGAATCCATTCAATCTCAGTCTCACCGTGGCTACTGATTGCCTTCCTTTTCCTCCCTCCCTTTCTCCCTCCTTTCCTCCTCTAATTCTTCTTCCCTTCTTCCTTCCCTCCTCCTTCCTTCTTTCTGTCCTTTCTTCCTTCTTATGTTAATTTAGTAGGTATAAAATGATACCTAAGGATTTTTTTGTGACTGCCGTTTTGTCAGTTACTACAGAAGGTGAACAATTTTCCAGTTTTGCTTCCAGTTTTTATATATTCTTGGGAATTGCTTGTTCATATAATTTGCCCATCAATCTATTAGAACCTAATGTTTTTCTTGTAATTTGTGGTTTATATGTACTACCGACATTTATTTGTTGAGTGCATAGACATGTGCATGCACACACATGCACACACACACACATTTGCAAATGGCTTTTCTTATTTTAATTTTTGAAATTGTGGTAAAATATCTATAACATAACACTGACCATTGTACCAATTTTAAAGTGACCCATTCAGTGGCATTTAGTTGTATAATTTACAATGTTGTGCAAACATCGCTACCACGAAAGAGGGCTTCCTGTGCCAGGCCACCTTGGGCAC